CTGAAAATAAGAGAACAAAATATTATATTTATGTAAAACATTAAAGTAAGATAATAAATGACCATATACATTGAAAGATAAACATGTAAACCATATGTCGATCTGAGATAAATGTGTACTTCTAATAATTGCCAACTAAAGCCATCAGTTCATCCCAAGAGTCCTTGCATTCTGCCTCAACACAACCAATTGCAATTGGATAAAAGCCATTGTTGCTATCCCTACCAACAACATACAATAAGTGTTCCACATAGGGTCCTTTTAAGAAACATCCATTTAGACCAATAAATAGTCTACAACCCTCTAAGAATCCTTTCCACATAGCCTCTAGGGAATAGAATAACCTATAGAATGAAGTACCATCGTCACTATAGGGTATTGTTCTTACATTAGCAACACTCATATGATTTGTTTCCAGGATTAAGGCACAGTAATCCCTAGCTCTTGCAAATTGTTTTGAATAATCACCTTCAATCATTAGTAAAGCCAACTTCTTTATTCTACCCACCTTTTGTTTTGTCATATCAACATTAAGTTCACTTTCAACTGTCTGCACAAAACCTTTCAATGAGCAATTTGGATCAGCCATAATCTTTTCAGTACAATGTTTTGCTAAATAACTATATGTCAGTTGATTGTTGTGCCTTACACTAGTACAATTGTGAGTATCATTGAATGTCTTTATTTGGAATGATTTACCTTCACTATTTTCAGAGGCATGAATCCTCCACCCACATTTAGCCTTACATACCACTGTGACTCTATCTCCATCATTCTTCACAAATGATTGTTCAAACTTGTCTTTTATAGCTGTATCCCTTACTGCTTCTCTAAATTCAGCTGGAGAACCAAACTTCATACCTATTTCAAGTTTTTTTTTCCCCAAGTCTGTATGAACATTGAAATTTGGATAAGATGGGCCACTTGTGGCATCATCCTTACATTCTTTACCACTTGAGTATACCAAACTCATCAATTCCTCACTTGGTGCATATTCAGAAGCTTGATCACTATCAACATCTTTATCAGATTCAATCTCAGGTTCTTCATCATTTGTAACCTCATTCACCTCAGTTGCATTTTCATTATTTCTTACTTCATCAACCTCCGCATCTATCATAAAAGTTTCGTCATAAAAGTCCAACAAAACATTGTCATTGTAATATTCATCATTCACATCTTCAATATCATTACCATTCACATCCTCATCCTCAATTTCATTTCCATTTCTATCAACATCATTGTCATCTTCACTTTCAGGCAGATCAAAATCACTGTCATCTTCATCTTCATCTTCAATTTCAGGCACATCAAAATGACTGTCATCTTCAGTTGCTATTGTAGGCAACTCTACTGATCTATCTCCATTATTCTCACCTTCTGTATTTCCTTCTTCAGTAATTGACACCACATATATTTTAATTAAGGAGAACCTTTGGTTGTGTTCGAACATGTCAATGACATCCCTGTCAATCTTCAACTCTTTTAAACTCCCATCAATGTAAGACCTGTAGAATACTTTATTTGTTGTAGCAGGATAACTAAGCAGACCTATCATGTATGTGTAAGTTTTATCATTGACATGAGATCACTGTCTATACTCTTATATATCTCAACAGACCCACCAAAATATGAACTTAATTCTGTACTACCAAACTGACCACTATAATGCATTTTCAGTGTGTATAACTTTTGAAAAGTAAAATTAAAACCTAAAATAATAAATTTCAACAAAACAATACCAAACATAAGATAACTAAAAAAAACAATTCTGACACAATTGCAGTAATTTTAAACAAGTATTGTCAAAGATCACTGGGACCACCACCTTATATTACTTAATTTAATGATCACTAGGACCACATCGAAACCCTAATTTTTATTACAAAATCATTAAACCCTAATATCAATACTCCCACCCAACAATAAGGACCCACATTGAAAATGAAATATTATAAAACCCTAAGTACTACAAACCAAAAAAATATAGTATTTACTTCTAATTTCAATAATAAATCCCTAAATCCTAAATTATGAAAAAATTGTTTGAATAATAAACAAACCCTAATTTATTATCACCGGGACCACAGCCTTATAAACAAACCCTAATTTTTATTACAAAACAACGACATTGGTAAAAGTTTGTCCACCAAACATTAAGGACCCACATTGAAAAGGAAATAATATAGAACCCTAACTACAAAGTAACGACAATGGGTAAAAGTTTGTCCATACCTAGCACCATTGTGTCCAACAAAAGTGATACGAACCAGTTGGAATCCACCAAGATCTTCGACCACTGAGCGATTATAGAAAAAAGACACACACAACACTCGCTTTAAAAAACACTCGACACTCGCTTTTATCAACACTCAGACACTGGATTTCATCAACATTCGCTTTCATCAACAGTCGCTTTCATCAATACTTCACTTTTGCTTTCTTCTATACTTGGCGCACACACAAACACAAAACCTAGATGGAAGCATAAAAATTGATTTAGGGCATACAACCCAACCCCCACACGACGTCGTTTCACAAAGAGGCAAAAACAACACAATACTACATCGTTTTACACGGGGGCATATTTGCCAATTCAAAATTCACATTTTCATTTAAAAATAATATTAAGGGTATTCTTGTCATTTCATAGTAACTTAACGATTCTGTGACGGAATGGGGGCAATTTGATAATTTCAGTTATATCAGGAAGTTTTTTAATACTCGAGGAACTTAGTAGATAGTTTCGACAAACAAGAGGGGGGTTATTAGATTTTAGCCCTATAAAATAAGGATAATTTCACTGATACCTCCGGAAGTTTGGCTAAATATCAGTCTAAAACATCTTTCGAAAATAACTATCACTCACATTATAAACGTTTGTTCCGTTTTTCACTCACACTCCAAAGGTTAGCTGACAGGTATGTCAGACCACTTTTTACATGTAGAAAGACATTCTTACCCCTTGACTTTGGTTTAACCCAATAAATTATTTTTTTAATGATTAAAATTACATGTTTACCCTCATTTGACTTTAGGTTGACTATTCAAATGACATGTTTACCCTTCCTTTTCCATATACAAGAATAAATAAAGTAGGTAATCAACATCATACAGTTTGGTATTGAGGACTATTATACGCCATACAAGTGTTCGGTTCTATATTTTTTTAAGGAAATTAATGAAATTTAAAAAGAGAAAGAGAAAAATAAGAAAAATTTTAAAAACTAAAATAGAAAAATAAAATAAGAAAAATCACCCATTCATATAATTTTTTAAGCAAATTAATGAAATTTTAAGTAAGAAGATTTTATTTTTGTAAGGAAATTAATGAAATTTAAAAAGAGAAAGAGAAAAATAAGAAAATTTTTAAAAACTAAAATAAGAAAAATCACCCATTCATATATTTTTTTAAGGAAATTAATGAAATTTTAAGTAAGAAAATTTTATTTTTTAAGGAAATTAATAAAATCTAAAAAGAGAAAGAAAAAAATAAATTTTTTTTTACAAGGGTTCGGTTCTATGATCAATCACCCATTCATATATTCCATCATTTTAGAAATATATATATATATATATATATATATAGAGAGAGAGAGAGAGAGAGAGAGGGGCGTGTCCTCATATTTTTTGGACAACAAAAACCCTTGCTTTTTATTATTTAGCATGTGAATTGAAGTCTATTTCTGTCATTTTATATTCATATTTGATTTATATTAGTTTTTTTTTTCTTCATCGGTCTAATTCATCTTCCTCTTTCTCTCTCTATCATACACAACAACATATACACTTTCTATACGTAACTAATTGGTGCCATAAACCATAAACTCCAATACTAGAATTCCCAAGCCAATCTGTAAATACCCTGATTGATAAATTCAAAGAAACAATTAATGGGTTTGGTTTCCCCAAAATTGATTAATTAGCAAAAAAAAAATTATAATAATAATACAAAAATTCATATATAATAAACCATATAGAGTGTTTGACACTCTCTTTGATAGTGTACAGAGGAACAATGATGTCTCTGTTTTTGATCTTCAACAAATCGACGAGGAATAATGAATTGGCAATGGAGTTTTCGTTGGTGGATCGGATCAACACGGAGCGCGGAACTGGACGTTGATATCCAGATCGTTTCTTGGTAGGTCCAGTAACTTGTGCAGTCTTTGGAGGTGTAATCAACTCTCACCGGAACAAGTGGGCGACGATTGCCAGAATTTCAACAACGATCGCGTGGATCAAGAATTACTGGAACTCTACGAATTAAATTACTCCTTACATAACTTTATTACTTCTTATATATATACACATATATATATCTATATATATATATATATATACATCGTGTCCTCTCCTCCCTCATACCACCATGCCGCTAAACTCCATAAACACCAGCGACTTGAAGCCATTGCCGATGCAAATCAAGCCATCGCCATCGTCTCCAACATTTTTCTTATAGAAGCGTCCCTGAGACAGAGGAGAGAGAAATAGTGTGTGTAGGGGTATAGAAGTCATTTATATTATCTAATTTTTGTAATAAATGTGATAAAAAAAATTAGGGACAAATATATTTTTTCTCATATTTTTAATCGAGATAATTATAAAGCAAAATAACAATAGTTATTTTCGAAAGATATCTAATATTTGATTAAATTTTGGAGGGAGTGTCAGTGAATGAACCCCGTAAAATATTAACACTTAGACAGTATATATGGAAAAAAAATACTACCGTCATACTTCTTGTATGATTTTCGAACTTTCCTTAATATAAGAAAAACCAAAAGAATAGAAGTTGTCAACTACAAGTGGAGCTGAATCAGTCACGTGACATCCCCCTCCCGTATCTCTATAAACAGAAAGTCCATAACATTATATGTAGGAGTGTGTATATATATATATATATATATATATATATAGCTCACGTAGTACTTTGACTTTGTCGGGAAGAGCGTGGCGCGTACGGGCAACCCCAACTCCATTAAAAACCATCCACGCTTCAGCAACCTTTCCCATCCCTTCTTCTCAGTTCTCCCCATTTCTCTCCTCTCTCTATATAGTATATATAAGGAGTATATATTTATCTCTCTCTATATTGTATATGAAATTATAAATATATACACACAAGTTAAGTTTCTCTTTCTACATATAATATCTGATATGGTACTATATAACATGTAAGAAGATTGAGCAAAAACTCTGTTATCAGAACCATGAAGGCCATTACAAGCTTACCATCAGAGCTGATAACAACCTCATCATTCATCAAAATTACAGCTTTCTCCCTCCTCTCTCTCTCCATCCTCCTCCTCTGCAAACATTTCTCCGACTCCTACCAACAACGCCACTTCTCCTTCTTCTCGTCTTCTTCCACCACCGCCACCCCCACCGCCAATGATCCTTTGCCGCCGCCGCTGGTGTTGAAACCGGGGCACGTCGACCAGGATACCGAGGTCGAGGGCCTCTTCGCATCTTCTTCCACCATCGCTGACGCCGTTGCTGCCGCCACCGCCTCTACCAATCACCCTCCGCCGCCGCCGCTGGCGGTGGAGAGGACGGGGATCGTCGACGAGAACGGGGTCATGTCGGCGGATTTCGAGGTAGGGGAGTTCGATCCCAGTATTATTGAGAGTGTGGCAAATGAGAGTCAGAAACAGGGGAGGGAGAGTGGTCAAACGGGTAGGAATAATTCTACGGCTAGGGTTAGGGTTGAGAAATATAGGGCGTGTAATGAGAGTATGAGGGATTACATTCCTTGTTTGGACAATGTGGATGTGATTTCGCGGTTGAATTCGACGGAGAGAGGGGAGAAGTTTGAACGGCATTGTCCAGAGGGAGGGAAAGGGTTGGATTGTGTGGTGCCGAGGCCGGAGGGGTATAAGCTGAAGATACCTTGGCCGAAAAGCCGAGATGAGGTAAAGAAAATGAAGTTTGCATTGATTCATTTACTTCAGCATGTCTGATTCACTTTTGTGAAACTAATTGTATAATTGTTGTTCATAGATTTAATCATGATGATTTTGTTTATTATTGTTTCTAAGGATAACCTACATTGGGCAAATAATGCTAAAATTAGGTCTATACCAGTTCATCTCTTGTAGCACCTCAAATTGGTTCTTCACATAGTTGAAGTTGCAATTGGATACAACCGAGTTCAATTATAAGAGCGATATAGAGGACAAATTAAATACTGTTCTATTATTTGAGCAATGGGAGATAAAAAAAAAAACAAAGAATGTTTCTTTTGTGGGTGTTTAATTGACCTGGTGATAGGGTTTTTTTTTATTTTTTATGTTTCTCCTTCTTGTATTCCTTGACATTATTGTATTCTTTGGAGCTTTATATGCGCACTATGTTATTTGAACTCAGAACACTACTTTCCGGTCACTTTTCAGGTTCTCATTGAGAAATCTTCTTTAATATATGAGTTTTGATCTAGTGGATTGCAAATTAAAGATGCAGTTGGTCACTGAATTGAGTATTTTTGTTTATAAATTTTTCTAGATTTTTAGCTTTAGTATATGACAGTATACTTGATTCAAAGGAAGACCTCCTGACTAACTTCAGGTGTAATTATAGGTGTGGTTCAGTAATGTACCCCACACACGCCTGGTTGAAGATAAGGGAGGCCAAAATTGGATATCAAAGAAGGAAGATAAGTTTATATTTCCAGGAGGTGGAACACAATTTATCCATGGGGCTGATCAATACTTGGATCAGATTTCCAAGGTTGGCCGTTTTACAACTCCCACCGACCGTGTTTTTGTGTATGTGTGTGTCTCTGCACACACTAATTACCATATTTTCATTTGAGCATGCAGATGGTTCCGGACATTGCATTTGGCCTACACACCCGAGTTGCCTTGGATGTTGGTTGTGGAGTAGCAAGTTTTGGTGCCTTCTTGTTAGGCCGTAATGTGACTACCCTGTCTATAGCACCAAAGGATGTTCATGAAAACCAGATTCAATTTGCTCTAGAGCGTGGTGTGCCTGCCATGTTAGCAGCATTTGCAACACGTCGCTTATTATATCCTAGCCAGGCATTTGACTTGATACATTGTTCAAGATGTAGAATTAATTGGACCCGTGATGGTACTCCCTCTTCTGTTTCACATTAGTAGTTTCTTTTAACCAAGGGATTGTATGGAAGTATCTCTGGGCAAACCTTTGGCACCAAGATGAAATTGTCTGTGATATTTACATTTTAAACGAACTTGTGTACTTGTCACTCTTATGCATTGATGATTGATTCATGCCTTCTCATTCTTTGCCTTGTTTTGAAGATGGAATTTTGCTTCTTGAGGTCAACAGGATGCTAAGAGCAGGAGGATACTTTGTTTGGGCAGCACAACCTGTTTATAAACATGAAGATAAAGTGCACGAACAATGGAAAGGTACCCCACTCCGTCATCTCCATGTTATTAAATTAAATCAGTGGGAATTATGTTTTGAGGCTAGCCTTTCCACGGTGGGAAGGACAATGATTTGAATAGAGCTTAGAGAAAAGGTCATTAGTTATTTTACATATTGCAAAATGCTGTTCTAAAGTTTTTTGTATTTTTTTATTATTTGATGACTGCCTTGTTATACCATGATTAGTTATTCCTTATATCTTGCTATTTCCCATAATGATCACCATCATAAGCGTAATATTTTTCTGTTTTCCAGCACAAAATTTCATTCTCTCTTCATTCTTTTTTGTACTTATCTTGCATCTCTTAATTTGTTGAATGTTGAACTTATGTATGCAAAGAAATGGAGGACCTTACTGGTCGCATTTGTTGGGAACTTGTAAAGAAGGAAGGATATATTGCTATATGGAGGAAGCCTCTAAACAACAGCTGCTATCTTAATCGTGCTCCTGGAGTACATCCTTTGTTATGTGATTCCAATGATGACCCAGACAATGTTTGGTATGTCCTACTTTGCCCATTCAAATTTGCAACATCGTATGGAAAATGTTCTTATGATCTGTTCAAATATTTTAAAATCTTGACCAACTTTTTAGTATGGACCATCTTAATTTGTTGGAAAATGTTCTTTGGTTAATGGTGGCAGAAAATCAGGGTGGCTTGGTCCAACAACTTACTGTATCTTGGTTAAGTTTTGATCAGGATATCTGGCAGAATATTCAGAACACGAAGGTTGTTATGGTCTAAAAATCACTGAACCAGTTTTTTGAACAATTTAATTTTAGGAGGAGTTATAGTTATGCCTTTTCCTGTTTGACACCAAAATTCGGGAAAAAAATTATGTTGTCCAAATATTTTTATTTCCAGGTATGACGGAATCGATTGGATGGTTGAACTGTATATCTGTCCCTCTTTCAGTAATGTTGCGTAGAGATTAATTCTGCTGTTGACATCAAAATTGGATTTGCAGTGGAAACAGATTATGCAGACCAACGTGAACCCCTTTTCTGTTCCATGTCAACTTCACTGATGATCAATTTTTTCCTGTATGTTTTGGCATCAATTAGTGTGGTTTGTATTTTGGAATGTTTTATAAGTTCCACGACCTAACTTATATCACTTTGAGCATCTAATCCACACTAGGTGAATCATGAACTTTTTGAAGCATGAAATTTCCGTGCTTTACTTTTCCTTTCTTTCCATTCTTTTCTCTTATTATGCATCGATAAACTTTCAAAGGAAGGCGAAAAATCGGGATGAATATACAACATAATGGAAATGAATTAAAATCTTATCAGCTACTTTCAACTAACTGACCTGAATGCTCCCTCTTTAGCTGACCTTTTAGATAATCAATATTCATGTTAGAGGCACAATTCCTATTCTGTTTTGTGAGGGAGATATTCTAATTCCCGTTTCCTTTTCCTAGTTGCCCAACTGTTGATTTATTTGAGTTGTTGCAGATTACCCAAATCTGATCTTATAATCTATTAGGGCAGAAACTTTGACTGGACAGGTAACTTTTAGCTATCCACTTAACGGAGATGCAAGGGGAAAATCTGGTTTCATAGTTGATCTGGAGTTGTCAGAGTAGCAATTTATTCAAGTGCTTTCTTGCACATTGAAATGAACAAGAATCTTTTACTTGGTGTTGATCTAGTAGCGAAACAATAACTTGCTTTTAAGTTTTAACTTTAACTCCAAGAGGGGCTCTGGAAGGCCTACCTACTTGAAGGGGGGAAAGTTAAGAATGGAAATAAATAATAACTGAAAGTTTGAAACTATTGTCATGCTTTGTCACAGGTACGTTGATCTGAAGGCATGCATCACTCGACTACCTGAGAATGGTTACGGAGCTAATGTTACTACATGGCCTGCACGCCTTCATCTTCCACCAGACAGGCTCTTTAGCATTAAAATGGATGCTTACATGTCCAGAAAGGAAATATTTAAAGCAGAGTCAAAATATCGGCATGATATTGTGGACAGTTATGTTTCTGCTTTTCACTTGAAGGAATTAGAACTACGAAATGTGATGGACATGAGGGCTGGATATGGGGGGTATCTTCTTTATATCTTCAAGTCATTGCTATTATTATGTGGCACAGTTTTTAGACATATGAAGCTTCTCGAATTGTTGAATGCTTCTTAGTCCTTACAAGACATTGCAATACCTTATAAATTGTTGGCCATTTTTTTTCATGGCAGGTTTGCAGCAGCATTCCATGATTTACAGATTGATTGTTGGGTTATGAATGTTGTTCCTGTTAGCAGTTACAATACATTGCCTGTAATTTATGACCGTGGACTGATAGGAGTTTTGCATGATTGGTATGGGCTCTGCACCTTTTCTACACATGGTCTTTTAGCATTTATTTCTCCTAATCCCTTGTGCTTGGATAGCTTTGGCAAGTCGAGTAATAGATTTTATTTTTTGAACTATCTCATCATCCTTCCCTTATTTTAACTTTCTTGTACTTGCACTTGTGCATGGAGTTTGGGCATCTGAATCTTTAGCTGATTTATGGTCCATTAAGTTCCAGCAACTTGCAAAGATCCTTACTTGTTTGTTTTAAGCTTATCAGCTCTCGGTTTGTGGCTTGGATAATAACACAGGGCACGTTGTTTTATCAGACATATAACACAACATACCTTTCCTTTTATTTTCACTCCCCTTTCCACCGTTTGCACTCTCCTCCAATTTTTCTTTCTTCTCCTTCTTCTTTTATGCTTAAAAATTTCTTCATAAATATAACACCGTTCGTTATCTTTCACCTTGATTATTGAAGAGCCCTTGAAAACTTTAGACAACTCTTAAAAGTATTTATGAACTGCATTTTTTAAACTGAATCATCTCAAAATAATATCATCTTGAATTTGAAGGTCTTTGAGAAGACATGTAATATTTTGAGTTTTTTTTTTTTTTAAATAAATCTTGTTGGTTACTCTTGTTACTTGAATGGTGGACTCAAATTGTAATGCTTGTTATTATGTATAGGTGTGAGCCATTTGACACTTATCCTAGAACATATGACCTACTAAATGCAGCAGGTCTCTTCTCTGTAGAACAAAAGAGGTATAATTTTGGTTTTTCTTGTTTTAATTTTTTAAAACATCATTTGATTTTTGGGGAAAACATTGCATGGATCATTTCTGTATGTTCTAAGCAGATGTAATATCTCTACCATCATACTTGAGATGGATCGGATTCTAAGGCCAGGTGGGCGTGCTTATATTCGTGACACCGTATCTGTTTGTGATGAAGTTCACGAAATTGCAAATGCCGTAGGATGGGTGGTCTTCCGATTTGACACCGGCGAAGGGCCCCATTCCAACTGGAAGCATTTGGTCTGTGAGAAACGTTTGTAACATTCTTGAATATATATATATATTTTTTTACATAAATGTTGAAAGATTTCTTGCTCTTGTTTTTTTCAGCGTTATTTCTTCTTTTGCCCTATATGCTGTAGGCATGAAAATCCCTTGTCTCTAATTATTATTATTAGATCATACAAGAGAAAGATATATGTTGTTCTGGCTAATTAATTGTAATCTCTCTGTACATTTAGTCAATCAGACATGGTAGCAATCCAGCAGATACGAGAATTTCATATCCATGTTTTAGTGCCACATAGATCAGGGTTTTTTTTTTTTTTTTCTTTTTTTGGGCGCTTGTAGTTTGTGACAGCTTATATAAACCCTCATTGACAATAAGAAGAATCATTTTGCGTTTTATATGTCTCATTTTTTGGATGATATCCCGAAGAGTTTACTTCTTAGTGCATTGAAGGATGGTTGGGATCAATCCAGCAGTGATTATAGCTGGGAAAAGCTCCATTGACTATTTTATTTTAAGTCGTAAATTTAAAGTTCAAATGGGTAAAATTGTTGCAAATGAATCTGAAAATAAAAGCATTTTTAATGTTTCTCCTCTTGGGGTGCACATATGGACAGAGCACCCCTGTTGGCTAATTTTTACCGTCTTTTCACAGAGGTTAAACTGAGGACATCAAACTTATTTCATTTCAAAAAGTGAGGGTAACATTGTCTTTACACTCCAAACAAAGTTCGTCTTATAAGGTTATTTAAGCTGTTGAAAAAAACTTAAAGATTTCAGTCACATATAGTCAAACTTCCTCTTCGGAGTAGTTTTTGGAAACACAAAAAAAGGTATTGGTATTTATTGCTAAACGGTTAGAGAGGTTATTCACAGGTCATTTTCACATCTTTCACTTTATATTTATGACAGTCCGACAATCATGCCAGCTTTGTTTCTAAACTTATACCCCGTATTAAGGTTGAATAAATCTAATTGTTTCATAGTTTTCTTTTGTGTAATGAATATTTTTTTAGCTTGGTTCACTTGAAAACCAAAAAATATACATCTTTGGAGAGTGAGCTGTTCTCCTTCGCAACCGCCACGTGTCAGTTTCTAATCGCAGCAGTAACAGACCAATACGGGTAACGCACCGTCAGTAGCCGGTTCCCAGTTACCACTCCTTAAAGCGTAAAATTACCAAGATATATAATCGGTCAAAAAGACGCCTCTTTTTGTATTCAAAATTTTAAAACCCTCGGATAATACCCCCAATTTTCAGAGCAAGAAATAGAGCGTTTCATATGGCATTCAAGGGTTTGTCTATCTAGGGCTCGGAATAATTTCTCATCTGCAGAACTCAAGTAAATCTCTCTCTCTCTTGAATATAATACATATGTGTTATATATACATGTGTGTATTTATGTATGTGGACATGATACATGTAAGGTGTGCTAATCTGTGAACTGCGTTTATATACTTGAACTACGCATATGGCTTTAGTAAATGTGATTTGTGTTTGGTTTTTGGTTAAATTGTTGATATTCTGAAATTCTTATGTGTTTCTTGACAGAGGCGATTGAATATTTTAATGATATCAGGTGGGGGTTAGCGAAACCCTAGTTTGCTTGATAATTTTAGGGTTTTATTGGGAACTGAGGGAATGGCTGATGAAGTGAGGCATAGAAACGGAGATATTAGGGAGTGTGCTGTAGTGGGTACGGCAACAAATGGTGTGGTAGTGAATGGGTTTGGGCTTGCAAGTGGAAATGGTGGTGTTTGCGAGGGGAGTTATTCTGGATCATCGAGTGAGGGTTTTCAAACGTACAAGAGGCGGAAGCATACTAAGATGAGTGATTCGGAGAGCAAATTGATTGAAGATGGGAAGGTTTCTGTGGATCTAGCAAGTCAACACACTGATAAGGTTCCTCTCTCTACCCAAAATCCATGTTCATGCTCAACCATTTAACTCTTGTTTATCATTTCGTGCTTCATTAGTTCAAAATTCAAAATTTATGGTGTGAATGATGTAATATGTTTAGGAGACAATTTATTATTAACATGGAAATGATATCATACATAACATAAAAGGTTCTGAAATCAATTTTTTTTTTTTTTGGCAAAAACTCATTTTTTCTTTTTTTAGCAAAGTAGTTATAGCCACACTTTTTCGAGGCCTCCATTTTTGACATTGAATTAGAGCGGTAAAAGTTGGTCACTGGTGCTCTGCTCTTGGGTTTTGCATATGACAAGTTTTTTAAGGCCCAATACTATATTTCTTCTGTTTGATTGTTATGATTGGTCGTATATGGTTCATTTAACATATTTTCAACCTCTTTACCTTCAATAATCTTGAGAGTATTAAAAAGTAGATTGTGGAACTGCACAGATGTTAGTAACAAATAATAATCTATAACCATTCTGTCGTTGCTTATATTGATGTATCTCTTGAGGATGGACATACAATCCTGAATATTGTTTTTAAGTGGTATTTGTGATAACAACCTTGTATGAGTGCTGGAACAAAAACTTGCTGTATCAAATCTTTGATCTTTTGAACACAATTCTTGGTTGCACATTAGTCCATCATGTTTTGAAGTGTATATATTTTCTGTGAATAAAATATTAGAAATCCTGAAGTCTGAGTTCTAATCTATATTGAAAATTTGTGCTCGAAGTTTTGAATGCAGAATTTAAGTTTCCACCGGGATTATTTATAACTTTGATGGCTTGGTTGCTTATAAATTCATAGGCACAGAGATGCTTTAGAAATCTTTTGGTTCTTGATTTTAGTTAGAGTGCCAAGTTGGTTCTTTCAATAAACCACAGAACTTTATAGGAACTGATACTTACTTTTAAGTATCATAATCTTAACATATTCTATTTAGAAATCCCGTTGTTTTTTAATTGAACTTTTGTTTTTATTGATTGAAAATGATTTTATCAAAATTTGACATTTAATTTAGGTATTTGGTGAAACTCATGTTGTTCATTTATATTTTTTAATGCGTGTGCTATTGATTCGTATTTACTATTGATTCATATTTACATTATCTTGTAAATGAATTTTAAAAATTTGGTTTTTTTAAAGATGTTCTAGAAATCACCATGTACAAATGCTAGTTTTGCATATTCTTTTCTGTTGGTCATGTAGATTTTATATGTTTCATGAATCTTCAGTATATGCTGATCCTTTTTTCTTTTTAGATGTTTTTCACTTGTTCTTAGTATGTACTAGTAGTTAGCAATTTATTTCTGTCAGAAATAAGTTCAAGTTAGGGAATACTATTCAAGTATGCAGCGGACACCAGCGTTCATACCTCATCACCCACGAGCAGAATATAAATAAATAAAATTATGACAACGTGTATGAAAGTGTGGGTGTTGTTACTTATTCATTCTTTTGGTTATTTGCGGCATATAAAGTATAATGACCTATTTGCTAGTACCTGATGTACATCATCTTGGGGATACTTTTAGAATATGGTACCAACAACATACATATGAAAATTTAAAGTTAAGAGGTCATTCTATTTGTTATTATTTTTTTTTTGGAAGGATGGTTGGTTTAAGTTATTACGAGTTTAAATTGTTCTTCTGCTGTGTTTTTTCTATGTTTGTTCATGGCTGCTTGACTTTATTTGTTATTACCATATCCATACTTTAATGACTAAAATGATCTGGAATTTTCAGCGTGTCATTGCTTACTGAGCAATTTCTGCTAAATTTAGTTTTTGTAGCTTCCTTTTATTTTATGTAAAAGAAGTTCAGTATGAATTTTATTTTCAGATTTCTTTTGAAAGACATACCTTGGTAAAACTAGGAGACTTGTGAGGAAAGCACAACAGGAATCTCTCTTATGGATAGCTAATGTAGATTGGTATATGGACTTATATTATTGCTGAGGTGTTGCGGAGAGGTATAGGTGGCCTTCTCTACCACTCCCCTTCCCCCTTGAAAAAAAGTAAAAAATAGGTTAGGCGGAGTTATGTCACCAAACCCTCCTTAAATCCCTTTTCCAAGTAAATAATTTTTTACCCACTAGAAACTGAATATATATATATATATTGGGGTGGGGTGGGGTGGTGTCATGGTTTGGTAGAAATCTAACCTTCGACGTTTTTTACACAAAGCGGCTGCCTTCAAAGTTCAAGCTCTAACACTCGACTGCCCAAGGTTATACCAGTGCACAAGGCAATGGCCCCTAACAATTTTTTTTTTTTTTTCCCTGAATAGCCCCTAACAACTTTATAACAGAAATAATAAAAATTGAAAATAAAAATTAGCACGAATGAATCAAAATTACATATGAATAATGAGAAAAGATTTTGTGTCTCCTACCAATGAATTCATTGGTTTTCTTTTAATTCTGTCTACTTCTGTTAAAGTCGCATCTTGTTTGTTTGGTTTTTCTGCAGAACACTGAAGAACCAATGGACACATCTTTACCTAATAGTTCTTTTGATCAAGTCAGCTTCCAAAGGATGAAACCATGTACTACTAAGAATGGTTTAAATGATTGCCCTCTCGAGCACTGGAGACACACTGTACTGGAACACATTTATCAGTCATTAGTTGAGAGTGATGGAGGTATACAAGGATGCATTCGAGATGCGCTTGTGTTTCATCCAGAAAGCAGTTGCACAACTGCAGCTAAGGTATTGTGTTGTTCCTATATCTGCATTGTAGGTTAACCATGACCACTCCTTCGTTTTTTTTGTTGTATATTCTAATTTTTATTCCCTTCTCAGGAATCTATTCATTTTAATGAAGACAGCCACAAATGCTCTTCAGAATCAGGGCGGATGTCTAATGAATTTCGGAATTCAGCTAAAGGGCATATGAATGTAAAGTCCAGTGGATTGCTAAATGAATCAGATCGTCATACAACCACTGAGCTGTGTCAATTTGCTTTCTTTGACATTATAACATCAGAAATGTTTGCTCAACTATGTAAACTACTCTCGGAAAATTTCCAAGGACTGAAATTGGACGGCTTCTTTAATGTTGATATTATAAATTCAAGGATGAAGGAAGGAGCTTATGAAAGTAAACCTATGCTTTTCTTTCATGATATTCAAGAGGTACTTATTCATTTTAATGTATATATTTTTTAATTTGCATATTTTCATTTATGCTCATACTCAAGTAAATGTTGGATTAATCATTGATTGAACCTATGGTTTTGGTTATAGTATGATTTTGAAGTGCTTAGTAATTTGAGATTATCTGTTTACTTTTTAAAAGTGTAGTGCAGAAGTTTCTGTCACATTCTTTTTCTTTTGGTTGCTATCGGAGAACCTCCATTTTGAAAGAGAACTATGATATTTTTTGATGTGATACATGTTCCAACTTTTCTTATGAGAGAGAAACTTTGTTTATATCATTATTCAATTTGCTACTGTAAACATTTTTTGTTCTTTTAAATACTCTGCTTTCGCTTTTCTCTTATATTTCTTTTTTTCTGAATTCAAAAAACATCTAAGCTAAATGAACTACCCTTGGTGTCCCAAACACACGCACCTTCACAGAAAAAGATTGGTTATGAACTTATAATACAGTAGTTGAAAGATTGTCGGAACAATTGAGGAAAGGGGTGTTTTATCTATTACAGTATATTTGTTGTCTGTGATTTAAATTTTTATTTATTTTCTTCATATTTCTAATTATTGATCTTGTTAGGTCTGGTTTGTCTTTGTCGTATCTTGTGCTACTTTTAGCTTGTTTGAAATTATAATTTCCCCCTAGTCATCATTTTAATACCATTCTCCATGTATCCATCTAATACATGGGTGTAAGTAGTTTTTCTGATTTATGGATTTTTGTAGTAGCTATCTTCTGAATCCATCCTTAATATCTTCACTATAGTTGGCTTAATGTGTCTTTCAAAGGATATACGAGTCAAAAAGGCCAGAGCTTTTCTTTCCTTCTAATTTTTATAGGGTATGCAACTCATAATGACTAACATTTACGCCTCTTTGTGTGCAATATCTTAAGCAACTGATAGAATGAGTTGGGGTTGCTGGGAAACATAAGTGCTCTAGGAATTCCTTGTTTGTTATAAACTATTTTTTTTTAATGACAGACTTGAATGATTTGCAAATTTTGAGAGTTGAGATATTGTGAGTTTTGTCAAATTAATTGAGTCTCAGTTTTGGATGTGGAATTTGCTCAAGTTGGTTGCTGGGTGCTTCTTACCTCTGTCCATTACCGATCCATGATTGCATACTTATCTGGCAGTAATTGAGTCTGGAAGTCATGCTTGTGACACGTGACCAACTCTTTTAAGTAATGTTGTGGTTTATTCTTATGTTGCTAAAAGTATTGCTGTTAGACTTCACACTTGCGATCAACATAAATACCACTACCATTTTGTCGGTGACCTTGGGCACAAATTTTGTTTATAGACTTCCTTTTTTACCGCCTATATCTCAGATAGTACTGCTTTAGTGCTCACATTGATATAAATAATTCTTGTAAAGTAAAGAAATAGAAGAACTTTTCAAAATAAATGAAGTAAAAAGGTATTAAGCAGTGAAATAATGTTTTATGAGCTGGATCTCAATTATTCTACAGGTCCTTAGAATGAGTCAGCTTTCCACAGATATCTGATACCTTAGGTCCTTAACTATTTTCCAAATGCTAATAGTGTTTGAGCTGCAAGGCTTCCAAATAACAATCTTTCTTTATCAGTATTGTGAATTTTAGATTCATAGATATGTTTCTATATCTTAAGGATCTCAACTGATTCCGGTTTTGTAAAATGGGAGTACTAGTAAATGTGTGACCTCTGGAATTGTGGATTCATGGTTGAATAATAAGATTTCAGAGGTTCCTTTATTGAGCTTTGGCACAATGGTAAGGTTGCTCCATTGTGACTTCAAGGTCATGGGTCAAAGCTTGAAACAGCCTCTTCGTACGTGAATGTAAGGTTGTGCATATCTGACCCTCTCTAAATCCTGCAATGATGGGACAAGCTCAGTCCATAAACAGACCTTATAAATAGTCAAGCCTGTTTCCAGACCTTAATGCCTATTGTTATATGTAAGATATGCCCTCCACCTACCTCCACGAGCAAGCCTTGATTCTGGGACATTCAATGCACCTGCTCTCTCTACAAGAGTCAAGCCAGAACTACCCTATTACTTTGTTATTTCGGTTGGTGAGATCGCTCCAACTTCGGCAAACATGCGTACCAATACTAAGTAAGTAGGAAGATTAATATTAATTATCATAGAAGGAATGTAAGATTTCAGAGGTTCTTCATCTTAACTTCTTGTTACATCCAACATATATGATCAGGGACGGAGCCAAGATTTCATTTCCGGGGAGGCACAATGTACTTGATAAAAAAAATCATCTAATATTTACAATTACATAACCTACAAATCAATACATAAAATCAGACTTAGATACATGTTAGGACATATAATAAAAGCCTTGCATCAAAGTATATGCATAAAAACCTTGAGTGGGTAATTGTTACTAGCAACTTGAATGTAGTCAGTTTGAAAAATCAAATGGGGACTTAATAAATTTAAATTCGCAGTTCAACTACATCTAAGATAGTGTGACCAATGTAACTCAAAGAAAGAGTTAAAAGTATCTTCACTCACAAGCCCACATGTGACTTACCTTGTTGCGGTTTCTGCAGCACCAGCTTCAGTAGGTAATCAATGGGATAAAGCCACATACTTCAAAGGTAACAATGATTCAGCAAGAATGGAAGCCATATGGATTCCATCCACTGGAATCTCTGCAGTGCCAATAAGGCATTGGTTTGCCCTCAATAAAATGAACCTGCCAGAGTATGCCAAAAAAATATCAACCAATCTTCCGTTTTTGCTAATAAAAGTATCAATCAATTGCAATCAACTCATACTATACTCAGCTCTATACAGGTCCCTCCAAAGGAAAAAAAAAATAAATAAAGAGATTTTTACAAAGGGAAAATTTTTGGGTTTTTGATTTTAAGAAGCAGAGAAGAAAGAGAAATAGGAGGAAGAGAAGATGTACCTTTGTCGCTGGTTGCTGATGAGAAGCCTCTGAAATGGTCGCCGTGGTCTTTTGGCTGTCAACATAGAGCACTTTCCGTCTTGTCACTGGAGAAACGATGGTTGAAAGAGGCAAAGAGGTGATACCAATGGGTTAATTTTTCTCTCATACGATGTATTTTGTATCTTATACAATAGTTTTGATTGTGTAAGTGAAGGTGCATCGAAACTTTTACACTATCAGTAATTCAATGGTTAGGAAAAAATCTGAAGAGGGGCACTCGGTAATTTTCTTGAAAATATACATATAAAGGTAAGGAAAAAAAAAAAAAAACCGCGGGGGGGGGGGGGGGGGGGCTCGTGTTCCCGGGGTTCCTTAATTCCCTCAGTCCCAGTATATGATTTTTTGATAGTTCTGCTCTATCCGATGCTTGAATTTAATTATATTTATTATTTTTCTATTTGTTGTGTGCTTCCATTTTTTTCTTGGGGGCGTTGGTTGCGTTTGTTATTCTGTTTCTCTTCCAATTATGGAAGTTTCACTTTGTTATTCGTTTGCTGGAATTGCAATACAATATCCATAGGAACGTGTGCTAGGACCTGTGAAAATTGATATAGGAAAAAGTTGGATTGCTCTACACAGTTTGTCATATGTCACATCGTTAGGAAAATCTTCAGGCCCTGGTTCATGGATGAACTAGTCTAGAGGTCATCTTTTGGCATGCAACCTATGTAATATTTAAGTTATTACCTTATACTTGTTCCATGAAGTGAGGCAATGTTTCTTCTTATAGTGTATATATCTTAGACTTGAATAATGTTTTTGCAGGCATGGACAAAGCTTCAAAAGGTTGGCACTGAAATGGTTGCTCTTGCTAAGAGCCTCTCGGACAAGTCAAGGACTTCTTTCCATGATCAGGTGAAGTTGAATTTACTTGCAAATGCTTGTGTCCCTTGTTAACTGATCTCTCGTGCAAATTGAAGATTGCTAATGCATGGGGGGACAATTTTCCATTGTTGTCCTTTTTTGACGGTATCTTACTACAACAATTTTAAAAGGAAAATCAAAATGTTTCGATGTGGTTAAATTGATAACTATTGAGCCTACTATTTGAGTAGTGACATTTATCAGATAATCTATAATGATAAATTTTAGTATTGATTTGAAAATTGACATTATGATTACATTTAACTTTCTTATGGAAACCTAAAACTACAGTTTACACCGTTGAAATCACCAACTAAATTGAACATCTGGAGAGATCAAATTGAAATGACTTCGGCTATGCTTGATTTGCCAAATTAGTGTGATCGGGTGGCAGGTCCTTGAATATATGTGACCATGGCATGCCGATATATTAGTACTCACACCTTGGATTATTTGGGCATTTTACTGTATTTATGATGGTGGTGTTCTTTTTCTAAATAAAAAATATAAAAATAAAAAAAATGGTGAAGTAATATTTGTCTTGCAGCAACATATTACTTTCCAGTGGCTTCTTTTTTTCCTGAAAAATGTAAATGAAAGGGCCTATCCCCTCCTCCTATGCATCTTTTTGGAAGTACCTTGGACCAATTCATGCGAGCCCTAGCAGGGACATTTATTCCTTGCTCTCTTTTATACTACACCCCGGCTCTGCCATTGTGTGAAGTTTGGATTTGGCATAGTTTACTATGTGCTTTGGAATTCTTTTCTGGACCATATCCTTTTGTCCATGCAGGTTGGACATTTGGTGCACAGCAGTTTTGAAGACAATGAAGTTGAGGTAAAAAAGTTTCTGCACATTACTGTAGAATTAATTGGTTTAGTCTTTTCTTTCTAAATATTACCTTGATGGGTAACATGGCCTAGGTTTTGCTTTTAGGAGTGATGTTTACCTAGTCCTGAAAAAACAATATTCTGAATTTTCACTGTAAAACAGTTCCTTGCGCAAGAACCTAACTTGCACAGTTCGGAGCAAACAGAGGTTTGTGGTGTGTACAAAGTCTGCGCTTGCAGGCGTTGCGGGGAAAAGGCAGATGGAGGAGATTGTTTAGTTTGTGATTCATGTGAGGAAATGTACCATGTCTCGTGTATTGAGCCTGCTGTTGAGGAAATTCCTCTGAAGAATTGGTACTGTTCTGACTGCACTGCAAAAGGGATTGATTCACCACATGAGAACTGTGTAGCGTGTGAGACGCTGAATGCCACCACATCTCCAATCAATGAAGTTGGAGATGATGTGATTCAGACAAGTGAAGTGACACCTGACGAAATGGAACAGGGTTCAAATGGTTTAGTGGAAGATGGGCTTCAGCCATTAAAAGGAGACACTTGTAATATGTGTGGAGGCGAGGTAGAAATTGGTGAAAAAATCAGGTTATGTGGCCATTCCTTCTGTCCTCACAAGTACTACCATGAGAGGTGCCTAACGAGCAAGCAGTTAAAGTTTTATGGTCCCTCCTGGTACTGCCCTTCCTGCCTGTGTGGGGCTTGCCTCACTGATCGAGATGATGATAAGATTGTTTTGTGTGATGGCTGTGATCTGGCGTACCATATATATTGCTTGCAACCACCACGCGCTTCTATTCCCGATGGAAGTTGGTTTTGCAGAAAATGTGATGCAGAGATCAGGCGAATACGCAAGGCAAAGAGGACATACGAGAATATTCAAAATAACCTGAAAAAGAGTGGCGGTGAAAGTGGAAGGAAAGGCAAACATGAAGACATGGTGGATGGTTCTGGTGGAGTAGACATGCTTCTAACTGCAGCCAAAACTCTAAATTTCGAGGAGAAAATGGCTTCTTCAATCATATGAAGGTTCACTTCACAGGGTTTTGAATCATTTTGGAGGAGTAATACTTTTGTGTAAGTTGTATTTTAGGCTTAGCTGACTTTTTCGGATACCTAAATGAGGAAACACAGAGGTCTGCATAGTGTATTTTGCTGCTGGTTAGCTTGTAAAAGTATGAAGTTTGTTGGCCGAAGTAAATAGACTGGAGTCATGATGTAAGTGAAAGTCTCCTAGCATAAAATTCTTTTATGGGGGATATTAGAAGCTAACATTCATTTTGTTGTGTAAAGGGAAATGACCGTCTAGGCAACCAACCCTATTGATCATCAAAGTGGGGGAATTTTTTTGTTATATACATTGATGTCCTATCAAACTCTGGATATCAACATCATTAGATGGTGCTTATTTCTTCTCACTATTATCATTTTCATATTATTATTATCATTAGTTTTTGTTTCCCGAGCTACATGAATTTTTTTTGTATAGTTAAAGATTATATTGAGAAATTATTATATGGTTGAAGATTATATAGTCTAGTCCAGTCACAACATGGCACGTAAGCAAAAATATGAGTAACACATCTGTTTGCATGTTGAATTGTGATCGGCTAAAACCATATAACCCCTTACTAAGTATGACATGAGTACCACTAGATTTGCATACCTCAATCTGCCATAGTAATTACTATGTCAATCAATAATTTTGATTAGATTATATTAAGCCATTTATATGGATACCCATCTTCAGCAAAATTCTAAATATAATCTTCAACTAAAAATTAAAATAAAAAAATAATTGGGAACTCTACACAAAACCGGTTTAATGGTAAGAAAAAATAAGGGAAGTCACAGTGTAAGCGCTAAACATTATTGTCCATGTACTTTGTAAAAAGTATATAAGAAAAGTAACCAACTAGAGGCATTCATGAACATTTCAGTTAATTTCGTTTGAAATTCTTCATAACTTCTAGGAACAGAATACGAACATTCACGGATATGAGAGCTACCTTAATCTGTAAATCCATGAGAGACAATTAATAAAGAGACTGGTTGGTGAGAAGCAAAATGGAAATAACTTGGATAGAGAAAAGAAACTACAAAAACTTGCAAGTGATATATATATATATATATATCTCGTCTTCCCTTTCATCTATGCTAATTACCAAGTCATTGGAAGTAAACAAATTAATTTCATAGCAAGTTTGAGGAAGAGTGTAAGAACTGCTTAGGAAATGCTTCTCCAACTCTACTAGTAAAAAGTTGTGTAATGACTTTTTCCTTTCATATGAAATCACTAACCATGTACCAATTAGGTTCCTAACATTTTCATTTTTCACACTATATTAAGATATTATTATATGATCAAAGATTATATGAAATTATTATATAGTCGAAGAGTATATGATCCTGTTCAATTAACATGACACATAAACAAAAATGACCAAATATTCAAAAAGGTCGCTTGGATAATGTGGAAGGTTTGAACATGAGCTAATCTTGATCAATAATTTGAGAGTTATGGGTAATGTTATGGTGATGCTTTGTAAGTGCCTAAAATTGCAGCTTCAAATCAATCACTAATAAATATACTTCAATTTTCATTTAAAGACTCATTAATGCCAAAAGGGTTTGGAGCCATTATTTCTCGTGTGGGTGGACTATATCTTTGTTAATGAAGTCATTATTTAGTACTCTAATCAATCATTCATAAATGATAGACCAACATTAGTAATCCATGGAGAAAATTAAATATGCTAAAAGTTGAACTAAAATTACAAGACATTCAGTTATATATATATATATATATATATATATATATATATATATATTACGTCTCCACTTATACTCAAACACTCAACAACCTCTACATGCGCTAGATTTAATTTTTTTTTAATATTATTTTTTATCATTTCATTCCAAGTTAATTTTAGTTGATTACTTTGCCTTTTACACTCTGTGCAAAATAATCTTCGTCTCTAAGCAAAGAAGTTTAACTTAACTTGTCGGAAATTAACTGGAAATCATGGGAGTACTTTCTAAGTCATTTGTTAGGTATTTTCTCTACCATATCTACCTTAATTTCTAAGTGTTTTCATGTATGCCTACGTGGGGAACGATCTTATGGTATTATTATTATTATTATTTTCATTCTTCATGTACATACCCCGACACCCTAACATAGAAAATTAATAGGGCTTTTAAGTAATTTGTCCAATGTCTACACATGAGAACACAAAGGTAATTTCATTTGCACAAATCGCTAGCCCACACTCCACGTCCACGCGGACACAAAAAAACAATCTTGCCTATAAATAATCTTTTCGTGCATTTGTGAAAAAACAAGACCCATTTTTCTTTTCATTTCTACAAGAAGAAGACGCATTTAGATACAGAGGGAGAGAGAGAGAGAGAGATGGCAGATAAGAATCATAAGATGGTGAACAAAGGTGAGGGAGGGGCTAAAGGGCAAGGGCCGATGTCCATGTATGCTAAAAATGAGAGCCTTATTCCCGCCAACAGGAAGAAGGTGAGCACAATGGCTTTTCAGAAAGTGGGGAAAACTTTTGCTCCATCTAGCAACAAGGACAAAAACAAGCACTAGTTCAACCCTGGTGAAGATGCTGAGTGCGCTTAATCCTATATATATAAGTACTCTATACTATATATACTATGTTCGGTAATATGGAATTAGCGTTTTAGAATTGGAATTGATAAAAAAAATAGTTCAAACTTTGCTTAGAATCAATTCCATACTACCCAACATAGGTATGTAGTTGTTTTGTATTTGTGTCTGTGTATGTGTGTGTTGTCATTTTTTCTTTGGTCGATATAGCATTCGAGTGTTGTCTTTTTTATTTTTTCTTTTCTTCGACACTGTTCTAAGTACACGCTGTCTTATTGATCTCTCTTGTATGATTTCTTTAATTTATGAATAAAGTCGTTCTATGTTTCTATTAATTGGATCATCCTGGTTGATTTATTTTGAACTGTTGAAATTTATACAATCTGGTATGAACTATTCGATTTACAATATAATACAATCATTGAAGTATTTCTTGTCGGGAGCATCACGTGGTTCCGACCAATGCAAGTAAATGTATTACTTTTATTCAACTTTTTGATTGCATCAATTAATAATCGCCGACCAATGGTCATGTAATAATTTTTAGAGAACCAAAAACAAATAAAATAAAAACCAGCAAATTGGTAAGGACAGTGTAAACGCTAATGTATAGAGTAAAGTGCAAAAAACCCCCCTGATCTTTACTCTCTCTCCCAACGAACCCACCTAGACTTTCATTTTTACAATAAACCCCATGAACTATCCTAATTTTTGCAAAAAACACCAGGCAACACTGTTCCGTCATTTGATTATTACGTGGCCTAGATTATAATTTCTAAATGACAATATTACCCTTGTTATTGTTAGGTTAATAAATGACTTAATGCCCCAAATTGAAACTCCCCATTGTTAACCCTTCACGCCATCTCATCTCAAGGTCTCACAATTCTCATTCTCTGCAACCCACCCAAAACTGAGCAACTCCATTTGTAGTTGAGGAAGATGATATTGATGCCGGCGACCATAAAGCATGAGTATACAGTTCACGCGAACAAAATCCCATCTCTAAGGTCCACTGCCGTCTCTAAGGTCGGTGTTGAGGAAGATGACATTAATGCCGACGACCGTATCAAAGGTCCACCGCCGTCTCCTCTGCCATACCCACGTTTACTCCCGTTTGGCTCGTTTCCAGACTTTATTCGATGAACTCCTGAAAGACCACCCGCGATCGATTCATACTTTGATGCTTTGGAAGCCGCCACGAAACTGCTTTTCCAGATGCACACCTCCGATTGTCTCAGTTCTGAACTTCTGATGCGAGGGCTGGTCACGTGCATCATAGAGGATGGAATTTCGATTTCTCTCTTGATGTTGCCATGGAAGTCGAGTTCCCTTGATTTATTTCTATACAATCAATTTTTTGCAAAGGTTTATCTCTGTATTCCCAAACTCATCCATGGAGTAACCTTTGGACAAGGAGAATGAATGAGAAACATGTTGACTATGAGTCTTGTGGGCTTTGCAAGTTGTATAGTAGGGATAAGGGTTGATGTGCTGTCCATTTGCTATTGGGTATAGAGGATTACACTTGACACGTCGGCAATAGGCACTAGGGTAAATTGGTAATCCTCTATTTCCGGTAACCTCCACTAACCGTTTTGTCCTTAAATGCACATTTGTGATAGTTTAGGGGGCAGTTCTTAGTATAGGGGGGTTTTGTGAAATTTGTTAATAGTTTAAGGGGGTTTGTTGCATTTTATTGTAAGAAGCATTTTGTTTTTTTGGTTAAATAAAACTTGAAAAAAAAAAAAGCAAACAAGAAAAGTAAATCAAGTAGTTGATGAACATTTCGGTTAATTTCGTTTGAAATTCTTCCTAACTTTTGATGAACTGAATATTAACTTTCACGCATATGAGAGGTATCTTAATCTCTAAATCCATGCGAGACAATAAGAGAGACTGGTTGGTGAGAAGCAAAATGGAAATAACTTGGATAAAGAAAAGAAACTACAAAAACTTGCAGGGGATATATATATATATATATATATATATATATATATATATATATATATATATATATATATATATCTCGTCTTCCCTTTCAGCTATCCTAATTACCAAGTCATTGGAAGTAAACAAATCAATTTCATAGCAAGTTTGAGGAAGAGTGTAAGAACTGCTTAGGAAATGCTTCTCCAAGTCTTCTAGTAAAAAGTTGTGTAATGACTTTTTCCTTTCATATTGAAATCACTAACCATGTACCAATTAGGTTCCTAACATTTTCATTTTTCACACTATATTAAGATATTATTATATGATCAAAGTTTATATGAAATTATTATATAGTCGAAGAGTATATGATCCTGTTCAATTAACATGACACATAAACAAAAATGACCAAATATTCAAAAAGGTCGCTGGGATAATGTGGAAGGTTTGAACATGAGCTAATCTTGATCAATAATTGGAGAGTTATGGTAATGTTATGGTGATGCTTTGTAACTCCCTAAAATTGCAGCTTCAAATCAATCACTAATAAATATACTTCAATTTTCATTTAAAGACTCATTAATGCCAAAAGGGTTTGGAGCCATTATTTCTCGTGTGGGTGGACTATATCTTTGTTAATGAAGTCATTATTTAGTACTCTAATCAATCATTCATAAATGATAGACCAACATTAGTAATCCATGGAGAAAATTGAATATGCTAAAAGTTGAACTAAAATTACAAGACATTCAATTATATATATATATATATATATTACGTCTCCACTTATACTCAAACACTCAACAACCTCTACACACAACAATATTGCGCTAGATTTAATTTTTTTTTAATATTATTTTTTATCATTTCATTCCAAGTTAATTTTAGTTGATTACTTTGCCTTT